GGAGGGACAAGCAGAGGGAGGGGGGGAATAAGAAGAAGAGGGAGGGGGGAATAAGATGGGGAATAAAATAGGGGAATAAGAAGAGGGAGGAGGGAATAAGAGGGAGGGGATGGGATAAGAAGAGGGGAGGGAGGGATAAGAAGAGGGGAGGGAGGGAATAAAAAGAGGGGAGGGAGGGGAATAAGAAGAGGGGAGGGGGGAATAAGATCGGGGGGAATAAAAAGAGGGGGGGGAATAAGAAGAGGGGAGGGAGGGGAATAAGAAGAGGGGAGGGGGGGAATAAGAAGAAGGGGCAGCTCTATAGGACAGGGGCCAAGACAGGGAGCTTTTTCACACTACGCGCGCACACATACACAATGCATCCCTATACATACACAGAAACACAACATGCTTCCCTTACACACAGAGAAACACACAATGCATCCATTACACACACACACACAATGCAACCTTTACACACAAAGACAATGCATCCTTTGCACACATACACAGAAACAGACAATGCAAACCCGTAACACGCATGCAAACACACACACTTCTTTTCTTACATACACACAGAAACACAATGCATCTCATGCACACACATACAGACACACACCTTTGCATCCCTTATGCATACAAACACAGATTCACACAATGCATCCCTTACACACAACCAGAAACACATAATACATCCCTTATACACAAATACACACTGCTTCCACTACACACAAACACACTGCATCACCTGCACAAACTGGTAACCCCAAACACTACATACCATAAGCACACATATTAGATCCTCTACAATAACACATAACACATCCCCTACACACTCCACTCCCTGTGAGCGAACTCATGGGTGGGTGGAACTTATGAGTGGGCCTTATGGGCATACTCACCGCCAGGCCCTGGGGCCCAGACCTTGAGCTGTGTAAGGGGCCCCAAAAAAATTGAGCTGCTTCCAATTCTCCCAGAACATTGAATTTTGTGACCACAGTTGCAAACAGCCTCCAGAGATCCTGTTCTACACCAGAGCAGTGGAGCCAAACTGCAGCCCATCATCAACCTCATCTGCTTGTAAGTAGGCAATCTAGTATATTATTAGTGACACTAATCTATAATTTACCTCACATTAAAGGGACACTATAGCTTAATGAAGTGGTTCTGGTGTCTATAGCTGGTCCCTGCAGGCTTTTTAATGTAAACACACACTGTGTGCAGCACTGGCGCTAGTTCATATGGCAGATCATATGGGTGGGGCATTGTGATGTGACATGTGGGGGCAGCAAATTTTTATTTTGTCTAGGGCGGCAAAAATCCTTGCACCGGCTCTGATCCTGGGCAGGTGCACCAGTCTACTTGACTGGTTTTGCCCCCAGGCCTAAGGCTGCCAGCCCTCCCCTGGCCGCTGGGGAGGTCTTTTGGCGGCCGCTGGTGGACTTGTCCTGGCGGCCGCTGAGGGAGCTGCGCGAGCTGCGCTGGCTCTGCTCCCCAGCACGCAGCTAAATGAGACCGTCGCCGGAATATGACGTCATATTCCGGCGCCAGTCTCATTCAGCAGCGCGGGAGGGCACTAACACAGGAAGCACCTCTAGTGACCGCCTGAGTGACTGTCACTAGCAGTGTCACTTTGAAGCAATGTAAACACTGCCTTTTGTCTGAAAAGTCAGTGTTTACGTTGAAAAGCCTGTAGGGACATGCTATAGACACCAGTACCAACACATTAAGCTGTGTGTGTGCATCTGCTAGTGAGTGAGCTTGCATGCATGCGTGTGCCTGCTAGTGAGTGAGCTTGTGTTTTTATGTCAATGAGCTGATGTATATCAGTAAGATTGTTTGTCTATGAGGCTGTGTATCAATGAGTTTGTGTGTGTCACTGAAATGTCAGTGAAATTGCCTGTGTCTGCATGTGCGTATGCTTACTGTATAATTAAACGTTTTACCCTGAAAGGACCAATATTTTATATTAGAAAAAGCAATATATATATATATATATATGTATATATATATTACTCAATCATCTGTCCTGGCAAGATATAGCCTTACATATTACATGCGACAATATATGGCGCAGTGACTTATGGGGCTGGCACAAATTTTTTTTCCAGGGCTGCTTTGTATCCCCAGTCCGGCCCTGCCTGAAGGTGCCCCCACCCTCAGGGTCCCCCTCACGCCGGGCTCTGGGGGGATGAAGGGGTTAAACGTACCTCTTTCTACAGCGCCGGACGGGGAGCTCTCCTCCTCTCCGCCTCCTCTTCGTCTGAATGCACATGCGCGGCAAGAGCTGCGCGCGCATTCAGCCAGTCCATAGGAAAGCATTCACAATGCTTTCCTATGGACGCTGGCGTCTTCTCACTGTGAAAATCACAGTGAGAAGCGCGGAAGCCCTCTAGCGGCTGTCAATGAGACAGCCACTAGAGGCTGGATTAACCCATTTATAAACATAGCAGTTTCTCTAAAACTGCTATGTTTATAGAAAAAAGGGTTAACCCTAGCTGGACCAGACACCCAGACCACCTCATTAAGCTGAAGTGGTCTGGGTGCCTATAGTGGTCTTTTAACCCCTTAAGGACACATGACATGTGTGACATGTCATGATTCCCTTTTATTCCAGAAGTTTGGTCCTTAAGGGGTTAAAGGTAGGCAGACTGTAATAGAGCAACATGAAATGCTAGCAGAATGCTTGGGTGTGTAAAGAGAGGTATTAGGAGTAGAAAGAGGGAAGTGCTCATGCCATTGTACAGAACACTGGTGAGACTTCTCTTGGAGTATTGTAAGCAGTACTGGAGACCGTATCTCCAGAAGAATATTGATACTTTGGAGAGAGTTCAGAGAAGGGCTACTAAACTGGTTCATGGATTGCAGGATAAAACTTACAAGGAAAGGTTAAAGGATCTTAACATGTATAGCTTGGAGGAAAGACGAGACAGGGAGTATATATGATAGAAACATTTAAATACATAAAGGCAATTAACACAGTAAAGGAGGAGACTATATTTAAAAAAAGAAAAACTACCACAACAAGAGGACATAGTCTTAAATTAGAGGGACAAAGGTTTAAAAATAATATCAGGAAGTATTACTTTACTGAAAGGGTAGTGCATGCATGGGATAGCCTTCCAGCTGACGTGGTACAAGTTAACACAGTGAGGGAGTTTAAGAATGCATGGGATAGGCATAAGGCTATTGAAGATATAAGAGACTAATGAAAGTATTTATAAAATTGGGCAGACTATATGGGCTCTTATCTGCCGTCATATTCTGTATTTTTATTTGATTATTGAACTTGCAGTTTAGGTAAAACAAGTAATTGAATATAGAAGATTCTAAGTCATTGTGGTAACTTGCTTTTGGGGGTCTAAACTGATTTTCAGTTCATCACTATTCTTTGTTTAGTAAATAAGCTACAATGTATATTCCAAGACATGTCCCTGAATTACATAGCAAATGTACATGTATCAAGTGCAATACTGAATTTGAAACTGCTTCTGCCACTTTTTGTAGTTGGTCCTATTTTTATTAATTGTCTTTTCTCCCAGAAGAACGAGATGCCGGCACGGAACAAAAGAAGAACGCAGTATAGTTTATTTTTCTTTAATCGACTCTCGTGGTTCCTTTGATGATGACATGGATCTCCAATCTAGATGCATCAATTACAGTATTCAGTCCTTCCAAGTCACTGAATGGGTAGAAAGAAAGAATAAATAAGATGCAAATATAGTTTTTTTTTTTTTTTAAAAGCCTAAAGCTCTTTTAATACTGCAAATAGACTAGTGTATACATCACATGTGCCAGAGATGAAACTTACAGCGGAAAATGGAAAATACATTGAAATATACTAATGAGGATGCAGGTTATATGTATATGTAATGAAATTTTATGTGTAGCTCTATTAATCCGGTGAAATAGATGCAAATGGAACACAGCATCATGCCATATCATATATATATATATATATATATATATTAGTATTATTAGTATTAAAAAGCGCCAACAAATTCTGCAGCGCTGTTCAATGGGTGGACTAGTAGACACGTATTTGTAACCAGACGAGTTGGACGCACAGGAAGAGATGGTGTTGAGTGCCCTGCTCAAGCAAGCTTACATTCTGGAGGGAGTGGGGTAACATGACACAGAAGGTAAGGGTAGTTAAGGTAGAAAAGTAGGTTGCTAGAATAGCTTATTTATTAATTTATTTACATTTTTATATAATGCTTGGTCAGCATGGGGTCTCTAATCACAGGGCAGCACAAGGCCATACATGTCGCGATCTGTGAAAGATTAATGGGAGTTACAGTCCCGGATACCAGCTGCTGCGGCCACTATTTTAATTCAGTCCTCTCCAAATCAGGGCTGAAAAAAAGGCAACAGCTGCATACAGTCTTAAAATTAAATGGTCCCCACCGCTAACCCTGGCACAAAACCCCAGCCCAACCTAGCATTAACTCTGCCAATAAGTCACTGACCATAGCCTTCAAAATATATGTTCCATATGAGATATGTGAGTGTGTATATATATATTTATATAACAAACACTTTATCGTACAAACAGTACAATGACAAATTTTATACTATTTGCATAACTTCTTAGCAAAATGTCATTCCGATTTCAATGCAACATATATTTAATAACATTAAATAATAGCGAAAGTGCCATACACTGTCATTATGCCCAAGCAGAATTTTATTTCTGTGATATTCTGCACCAAATGTCTCTTCTAAACTCTGTAAATTGACTGCTCTGTATCATACAATATACAGATGTATTGTGTGTGCACAGTTTTTTTTTTTTTAATATATGCTTTCATTAACTTACTCATCAATTTCAGTAGCGGCCTGAAGCATTCTGCTTTTACGGCTTGCAATGATAAATGTTTATTTCTCCTTTGTAAATGCTAAAGGAAAAAAGCAGTTCATTTGAATGTGAAAGAGGCCTGTCATGCTGAAAGTGAAAAACACAATATCCCAAGTGGCAAATTTGGGATGTGCCAGTTAATTCCACTGTGTGAGCCCAGCAGTTTATTCGTGAATTACAAATTACAGGATTAAAACATGGGTATTTTTGGGTTTTAATGTTCTTTTTTTTTCTATTAGATACGGTCAATTTTATAAATAAAAAAAAGCTATAATTACTTTCTGTACAATATTTTTATTTTATTTTTTCAGAACAAGACTGCACTTAGAAATGAATACATTGTAGATGCTATTTTGCTTAGGTTTAAAAGGATTCTAAAGTGCAAGAAATACAAATCTGTATTCCTTACACTATAGTTCCCTCTGGTTCCCCACTCCCTTGCATCCCCCCTACCAGCATTGTAAGGGTTACACTTGTGGAAAATACAATTCCAGCGCCCATCTCCCTCCGATGTCACTTGACAAGGGGGAGCTAATGCGCATGCACAGTGAGCGCCGTGAGAGAATTAAGTCTCCCCATAGGAAAGCATTGCTTCAACAATTTCCTTTGGGGAGCAAGCAGGAAGTGCCTCTAGTGGCTGATTGACAGCCACTAGAGGCAGTCTTAGTCCTACAATGTAATCATTGCAGTTTCTCTAAAACTGCAATGATTTACATTGCAGGAATAAGGGGGACAGGGGCACAGCCCCCAGATCACTTCAATGAGCTGAAGTGGTCTGGATGCCAATAGTGTCCCTTTAATGTGTAAATTGGGAGTGCTGCATTATAAGGGCTATTTGTTCTTATAGTAATGGGGCTAATGCCCCCACTTCATTTACCCTCTAAATATTTACAGGATTATTCACAAGTGAGAATTCAAAGTGATATCAAACTGAATTTCAGATTCAAAATAAAAATAGCAAACTGGAAATGCTTTCAAAGTCAGCTATGTTTCCTGTTCAGTTAATTTGGCCTTAAATTAGAAATTCACTTTGTATTCTCACTTCGGTAAATAACCATGTTAGTGTTTTGGTGACCACCTAGGCACATATGTGTAAAGTTGTTTGACACAACAACGACAAATCTCTGGCTTTCATTTTCAGTGCCATTGACGAGGCAGTTGGCTAGAAAAACTGCACCTATGGCTATTTCAAGAGATCACAGTTTTCTGTGACTTTTGGGAGACTCCATAAAACTACAGGAGAGGACGGTCTGTTGACCTTAACAACATTAAGACTGAGTTCACATAAATACGGGATTAACCTGTAGTTCATTTTTTTTGTTTAAGGAGGATACTATTGTTAAGGATTACACGTAAAATTTGATTTCTCCAATTTATTACACAAAAAAACCTTCAAAATTACTAAATTTTGGGAGTTAATGAGACCTTAAAATATACAAAGTAAAATTGTTTCCTTGGGTTCCAGTAATCTCTTCTAGAATAAATTGTGAAGTGACATTAATTGACCAGGATTCCCCAACAAGACAAAATAAATTATTTCTGAATATATGACATGGTTATACATTTCACATTATAGTAGCACGACTGCTACATAAACGTTTATTGATATCGGAGGATGTGAGCTGTTGAGAGGCCTGCATCCATAACATTGTATGTTATCATAGTATACTTCTTAGCTCCAGGTGCAAAGGGCCCTTTGAGTTGCTCTGATTGTGTTATAGTGATGGTAGAACAAGGTGTGAATGGTGCCATTACTGTGAAATCAGGAGCACCCTAGTGCATAGTGATAACTGATGCACTTAGGTTTTCATGGCAACAGTGACAGATAGGTGTGTAAACCAGAGAAAAACATCACCGCATACTGAAGCCCCCAGACCACCGTGGACCAAGATCCCCCTTTCAGGCATGAGGCACATATCAGAGGGGCGAAACGCGTTGATGAGGAGTTCGTTTTTATCTTTTTCCATCTGGTGAGATTGTCAGTACATCTGGTCTCCTGTGCCAGCCGAGGTTACATCTGTGGAAGGGAGGACTTTACAGAGCATCCAGCTTGCCTCAGTGCACGAGACAAACGCTGTCTCCATCTGCAAACCGGACAGCACATTTGGGATACAGAAGGAACTGCAACCAGATAAGCTTTTATGTGGTCCTTAGAAATAAGCACCACATCTATTTCTTGTAAGGGTTTCTTTGTTGGGGAGGGGGATTCCCTTTTTATGTTAAGACATTAAATACAGTATTATACTATGTTTATTTTCTGTCTTTCTTAAGGGATCTCCAGCACCAGTCTGTGTTTTCAACAACTTTATGGACTTCCCCACAATTTGGACCCTGCTATAATATCATGTATACTGGATTGTGATATTGTAACAACTTTCTTTGTTTGGTTTTATAATTAGCAACATTGACACTTTTTATGTTAGATTTTGCATCACATAGTTGTTTTTAATTGTTGCAGATACACTGGTAAATGTGTATACCCCAAACCATACTTAAGGGGATTATCTACTAAGCGCTGACAATATAATCAAAAAATTTTTTTCACATATCAGAGTGGTTGACAGGTTCCAACAATATGTTTTTCTTTGCCTCAGGCCTCAACAATTGCAAAAGTTAGCCCTGTGATGTATTGTGGGCAATTCCACAATCAAACGCACATCAGGATGCTGATGTTGTGTGTTTGTTTGTTACATAGAAACATAGAATGTGATGGCAAATAAGAACCATTTCGCCCATCTAGTCTTCCCAATATTTCGAAATACTTTTAATTAGTCCCTGGCCTTATCTTAAGTCTAGGATAAGATAAGATAAGGCCAGGGACTAATTAAAGTATCTACCACTTCAGCTGGAAGGCTATTCCCTGCATCCACTACCCTCTCAGTAAAGTGATACTTTGTGATATTATTTTTAAACCTTTGCCCCTCTAATTTAAGACTATGTCCTCTTGTTGTGGTAGTTTTTCTTCTTTTAAATATAGTCTCCTCCTTTACTGTGTTGATTACCTTTATGTATTTAAATGTTTCTATCATATCCCCCCTGTCTCGTCTTTCCTCCAAGCTATACATGTTAAGATCCTTTAACCTTTCCTGGTAAGTTTTATCCCGCAATCCATGAACCAGTTTAGTAGCCCTTCTCTGAACCCTCTCTAAGGTATCAATATCCTTCTGAAGATACGGTCTCCAGTACTGTGTACAATACTCCAAGTGAGGTCTCACCAGTGTTCTGTACAATGGCATGAGCACTTCCCTCTTTCTACTGCTAATACCTCTCCCTATACAACCAAGCATTCTGCTAGCATTTCCAACTGCACTATTACATTGTTCACAGATGAGTAGCCCTTAGCACTTTATTTATTTCTGCTCTCTCCAGTGGGTTACTTTTTGTGGTTATGTAGGCACACATGGTTACCGCTAGTGTCGAGGTAGTTTAAGGATACTTAAATGTCACTTCATGTCACTAGGGCTCTTTACCTTATGGTATTTGTAGGCTTACTATCGCTATGGTCATTTCTAGGTGTTTCTCAGCCTCCTACATGCCTACCTCTTTAGTAATACTACCACCTGCCCACTTTCACTGTATTTAGCAATCAGTTCCATTATAGCAGGTGTATATTCCAACCCTATCCAGTTAAGTCCCTTTTGTGGCTTTATTTGACGATTTCCGGACAGATACTCTTTTTTTTTTTTCTTCTTTGTATTTGCTATTTACCTCTCAATTAGTCTCAAGACTGATTGGTTTATTTCCTTTTCCCTATCTTTTTCCTTTTATTTTAGGATACTGGCCAGTTTTTTTAGCGCCATACGACTTTATATATTGATTTTCCTTATATAAGCCGATTAGTATTTATTTCATTATTTCACAGTTTGTAGGTGGGTTTACTTTTTTATCTCTTTTATCATTAATAACGTTTTTATTTATTGGGCCTTTCCAGACAATGGTATTCGGGATTCCTTTAATTATCCTTTGGTCTCAGCATGTAAATGATTCCATAATGCTGTACATTGGGAAAACTAAACATAAAGATTACTGTTATGAATTAACTTAACGGAACACTAGAAGCACAATACCTACTCTAGCATGCTGTAGTGGTTATAGTGTCAGAACTGTCCTGTTGCACGCTCATTGTAAGCAGTTTTTGATTGGTTTGACTTTAACGTTAATGGCTATTGGTGCTGGGAAATACTGTAATGGCAAATAATGGTGACAAGTGTGTGAGGTGGAAAAAGGGCAGACTACAGCAGGTAGAGGAGTTTTGGGTGGAATAAAGTACACTTCTACAAAAAGGGTTTTTAATTATTATTTCTTCTAGGTAAGATATAAGTAATATTCTCAAGTATTGGGGAATTGTGGTATTAAGTGTAAACTGTAAAGCTTGCACTGGAAGTACATTTTTTAAATTGCATTTTATAAATCACTGCTGCATTTCTGTTCAGAGGCCAACTGTGTGTCATTGCCCTTGTATGTACATGGTACAGTGACAACAAAGTTGTATTTGAATCTGAAATGTGCGTGCACGGCAAGCGGCACTAGCATTATGCCTTCCTCTTAGCCTACCTGTGAGGTTTGCAAGAAGCTTAATGTCCTCACGCAAAGTGTGAGGACGTCCAGCGTCATTTCACATACTTCAACTCTGTGAAACTGCAGGGAGTACCTTTAGTGGCTGTCTGGTAGACAGCGATTAGAGGCAGTCTTAACCCTGCAATGTAAACATTGTAGTTTCTCTAAAATTGCAATGTTTTGCATTGCAGGGTTAAGGGAACAGGGAAATTGCATCCAGAACACTTCAATAAGGTGAACTGGTCTGGGTGACTATAGTGTCCCTTTAATAAAAAGCATACGTACACACCTATATTGACTGTGTGTACTCAAGAGGGAATACTTTAGCCTGAGCTGCAATGGGTGGCTGTGATTGGCTGAAAGTGTGGGCTGACTACATTCAGCCTATCAAAGTGCCCTTTCAGGTATGAATTGGTAAGGCTAGAAGGAAGTGTGTAGCCTCTGCCTTAGCTAGAACTCCAGTAGGGGTGGAGCTATGGGAAGCCAGGGATACTTATTCATTGTTAAACTGCTCTAAAGTGGTTTAACACTGAAAAGGGAGGCAATGCCAGGGGACTCGGACTCCAGGCATTATAACCAATGATTAACAACGAGATATGGGTTGTAGTGTATGGGGGGATAGTGGCTGTTGTTTGTGGAGGTATAGGGACTGTACTGTATGTGGTAGAAAGGGTCTGTGGTGAGGGAATAAGGGCTGTGATGAAGGAATATGGGCTGTTGTATTTGTGGGTGATATGTACTGCAATGTATGCAGAAGAAACTAGGCTGCATTGTGTGTGGGGGGATATGACTGTAATGGGTGGTAGGAGCTGTGATAGGAGGGATAGTGGCTTTGATGGGGAGCGATAGGGGCTGTGATGGGTGGATAGGGACTGTGTTGGGGGTTGGAACTGTAGAGGGTCTGTGCGGATACTGGCTATGAAGGGGGGGTAGGGCAGTAATGTGGATGCTATGGGTTTTGATAAGGGGGATAGAGACTGTGATGGGTAGCTGTAGAGGATGTGATGGAGGAGATAGGGGCTTTGATGGGGAGGGCTAAGGCATTAGTGGGGATTGAAACTGTAGAGGGGATGTGCTCGGGTGGTAATAGGGATAGGGGTATTAATGTAAGGAATAGGGGCTGTGATAAGGGGGATAGAGACAGTAATGTGAGGGATAGAGGCTGTGATAAGGGGGATAGAGACAGTACTGTGAGGCATTGGGGTTATGATATGGAAATGTGCAGTAGTTTGGGGGATAGGGGCTGTGGTGGTGGATAACGCCTGTGATGGGAGGATAGGGGCAGTACTGTGGGGGATTGGTGGCTGTGATAAGAATATAGTAATGTGGGGGGTAGGGGCTGTAGAGGGGCTTAGTTGGGAAGTAATGGTTGTGATGGGGATAGGGATAATAATATGGAGGGGTAGGGGCTTTGATGTGGAAATCATACAGTAATTGGTGTGATAAGGGTTGAAATGTGGATGGGTGCAGCATTGTGGGGCATAGAAGCTGTGATAAGAGTGATAGGAGCAGTAGTGGGGGCTAAGAGCTGTGATTGGAGGATATGGACTGTTATGTGGGGATAGTGCAGTAGTGGGGGGTATAGTGGTTGTGATGGGAGATAGGGGCAGTAATGGAGAGGATAGGTGAAGTATGTGGGGAAAAATTATAAACTAAAGTTTATTCCCCCCTCACTGAGGCTTACCTTTGGCCAGGGAGGAAAGAATCCTAATTTCTCATGGGCCGGTGGGAGAATCAGCCTGTTTGCCCTGCCAGTGGGAAGAGGGAGACCAAGTTCTCCCCCTTGGCATCCAGGGGGCTGTGGATCATCTACAATGGGTCAGCGCTCAAGAAACAGTGGCCCAGCAGGTTATGGGCAGGCAGATCCCTTGATCTCTCCTTTCAGACGCAGCTCAGATTGCCCGATGGCCAGTGCGTGCCTGCTTATACATACAGGAGGGTAGCACAAGAAAAGTGCTGCCCAGTCATACATAGAATTCTAATGCTGTGAGAATGATATAAATAAGTTGATTATTGAGGAATATTGCAGGATATGAATTATGTTTACTACCTATAGCATGACGAGATGATGTGTGTCCAAACACTGTGCATCTGGCAACCCTAAGTTCAAATGAATGTAGGGTCATAGAATTATGCATATAAATAATTGTTCAAAAAATAGTATGCAAATATAAGATTTGAATTTTTGATCTATCAGAAATACAGATGCCATTGGAAAAAAATTGTGCTCAAATGAGAATTGCTAAAATGATCATTATATAGACATCAGTAGTATCAGTAGTTTTTTTTTTTTTTTAACTACTCCATCCCCCCCAATTCCATTCAGTAGACAAGTGACTGTCAAATGTGACAAATCAGATACAATGCTACTACTTTTTTAAAGACATTTCAAATATTCTAAGAAGCAGAGCCTGACTCTTTTTTTCTTTTTTTTTTACCTTTAATAAAAGCCCCTCGGGCTGTCGTTGTCATCTCTTCCCTTAATTATCCAAATGAGAGTAAATCACACAGCAAAATGCTTGTATACAATAGGAGAGCTCAGATTTGTTTACTTTGTCAATATTCTCTCACTGCTTTGTAATTAGAGATGTCAGGCTTGACCCAATTCACTGAGTTAGGAACCCCACTTAAAACCAATACAATTCATCTGGTCCCTATTTCTACAAAACCTATTGACATTAAATCTAAGCCATGTGTTTATGCAAACAAGTTTTTTTTTCTTCACAGTTCACAGGTATCATTTATCTTGGATGGCTGTATATCAGACAAATATTTGCATTTGAATTTACGAAAGACTTGCTACTTTGGGAATTTTCCCATAAGCACTATATACTTTTTGAAACACTGCACACAACCAAATTCTGTAGTTCTCCTTAGCTGGCTATAACAGTGTCACGCAAAGTACTTTTTACTCTATCAGTGAATTGCTCCTTCTAGAATGCACAACAACCAGCAATGGAGACACACCAGTCTATGTATCAAATTGCACATCGTTGGTCTTTTTCACTAAACAAAAAATTGTAGCGAAATGCAACCCGAATGACCAAATCTAGGCTAATATAGCCAAGGTGATACTAGAGCTGAGTTGCAGATATATTTTTTTCAAAATTTATTTTTCCTTAAATTTTACCCTTTTACCTATCAAATTTCAATTCAATATAATTTGGAGTATAGTGAATAAACCCCCATGTGTAAGTAAAGGTACCAAATCCACCTTGGTTTTTTTTTAGCACATATCAATTCTTTAAGTCAGCAGTAATTAAATAGACACTCCACTGCCCAAATGAAAAAAAAAAACCATTATATAATAGATATGCCCCAATAAAAACATGCTTGAATTTAATTATGATTTTTTTTTAAGGGGTTTAATCTAAAAAAAACCTTGCACAAACTGCAGACCTCTTGTATGGAGCATTTGCAAGCCCTCCCCTACTTCCCCGCCTAGACTTTCTGTGGATGTCCAATCACAGACTTCCTAATGCAGCACAATGAGAAGTCTTTGCAGGTGCTCTGGGCAAATGCTACTGTGGTTTAGCTCCTTCTACCTCAACTACCAGGAAGAGGAAGTATCAGGATTGGTTGTCTGATTGACAGCCAGGAGGGTGCAACAAGGTTAATTAAAAAAACTATTTTGAAATCTAAACTTTTTGTAAAATTCAAAAAGAGCACAAAGTGCCTCAGGTGTTTTGAGTGTTTAACAAACTCCTCAAAATTCAAGTATAGAATTCCTTAGTTAAACAGATTTTTTGAGTTACATTTTCTTATGTTTATCTTACAAGTGTCTTTTGTGGCAACATGATATGGTTACTCAATGTCTTCTTATTATTGTTTTTATTAAGATAACACCAAAATATTCAGCAGCACTGAACCACAAGGCAACTTGTATTACAACGGTCATCGCAATTTAGATTTGTGCACAGCAATAAAAAAACGGCTCAGCAAAATAAAAAATACAACATTTTCATTGGTCAACCTAATTTTGCAGCTCAGCTCAGATCAGCGAAGATTGTCCAAGCAACCGATACAAGGAAAACGTATTCGGACAAGCCAAAAAAGTGTGACAATAGGTCTATCACTATACTGCAAAATATATACTAGTATAGTATATAGTATAGTGTATATTTTGCAGTATAGTGATAGACCTATTGTCACACTTTTTTGGCTTGTCCGAATAGGTTTTATTGTATCGGTTGTATATATATATATAACTGCCAAAATATCAGAGTATTGCAGTATGCAATGATACATTTTTTATTGGACTAATGTAATATTTCAAAGACAAGCTTTCGAAAGTTTTCCTCTCTTCTTCGAGTCTGAAGCAATACTAATCCAATCTACACTCTATATATATAAATGGAATGCAGCAAAAGTTTAATTCTTTGTTAAACTAATTTTCATATGCCCACCCAGAATCCATTGCAGTAGTAACACCACTGCAGATTTGTGATTTCTGTGGGAAAAGCAAATCTTATGGCTTGACTGGTGTGCAGATTTTTGTTTAACATTGCAATAAATATATATATTGATCAATATTGATGATTTTGAGCGTTTGGTTACTTTTGAGCATTTGGCTGAGCGTTTTAAACATTCCCATGTTTAAATATATATATATATATATAAATTATTTCATTATTTAGTTTCATAATTTAGGGGTTATCCCCGAACCAACAATCATTCCTTTTTTAGTCATCGAGTATGGAAAATCAAAACATGAATCAAACAGACCTATTCGGCCATTGTCTGGGTCATTTGTTTTGTGATACGTCCATATGGTGCTTCTGAGTTTTTGAACTCGGCCATAATTTGGCCAAATTGCAATTACTCTGAAACTGAATGCACAAGTCTTTTTACAAACTGCAACTCCCATTATGCTTAGAAAGTCTGTGCTATTTGTATATTTCACTCAATGGCAACCTCTGTACCATGGCCTACTGCAGAAAATTCCCACCATCCAGACAGATATTATAAATATGCAATCTTTGGTTCCAATTAATATACTAATATTGTTCCAATTATCCAACACCCCGTCAGCCACCTCCCACCAACAACCCTGCTTATTTTGCCACATTTCAACTTTGCCTTTTGCAGAGAAATTGCAGTGCAGGAAAATAGGCTTTGCTAGCAAGATCACATTATTATTAATACGATTTTATTTTTTGCTTACTTGGGTGATATTTTACAAGAATCCACATGCCGATGAAATAGTTACATCGTGGATATATACTACTAGAGTTCAGAATGTTTTGTATTATTATATTTTTTTTTTAAAACAGCTTTATGAATCATGTAAAATATTTGTTAAGAAATATCAAATGTTTGTTTTTAAACAAACAAAACAAAAATTTAACAAATGAAAAAGAAAATAAAGAATGCTTTTTCATTGTTTGTTTTTTTTTAAATCAAACTAGTCAAATCAAAATCCCAGCTTACAAAATTACCGCTCCCGTATAAAAGCTAGTTTTGTTGTCTATAATTAATTTAGCAGCACAAAAGCCGTGAAATGTAGTGTAGAGCTGAGGGGTTAAATCTGTGTCCCTTGCATCCTTCAATAGAATTTTGTCCCTAACACAGAACTGCCCCCATTGTGCTGTACAGAGTAAAGATGTGATCAGTATTAAGAAAAGGTGGTGTGGGGGGTGCTCCTTTTAGCTGTACATCAATGCACTAACTTGAAAGATCAGCCTTGAAAATGTGTGGAATTCCTCTCCAAGAGGAATCTACTATAGAGAAGGGGGGCTTTTCTTTAAATCCTGGAAAGTGTATAGGCAGTAGTATGGTGGGAGTGAAGGGGGATGGGCGAGCACAGTGGATACAGCTTTAAGCTTTGACTGAATACATTGGTTCTGCTTCATTGATTGTGAAAAGCATTTTCCTCCA